TTGCATATGAGTAATTGGTGGTCTGTTCCACAATCAGCCCCCGGCCTAGTTTTCACAGCTGATATTGAGCTTCTCCAGCAGTTCCTTCCACAGATGTAGTCGATCTGATTCCTATGCATACCGTCAGGTGAAGTCCATGTGTATAACCTGCGTTTGTGTCTCTTATAAAATGTATTTGCAATGAATAAGTCATAGACATTTTAAAAATATGTTTTGCAAATCAGGCCCTGTGTCTCGGTAGCCTTCTGAGAGAGAAATTGCATGTACACTTCTGTGCGTGGAGTTGCTTGTCCGCGGGATTCTGATGGGATGTTTGGATTGTTGGATTCTAATACTTAAGGGACCACAGCACATACACTCTCACTCATGCTGTGTCTTTTAGTCTTTTCAGATCTTTAAAATATTTTTAAACTTTTGCAGATAACTGTGACAGCTGATGTATGTTTTAGAGCTGATGGGAATTCTGAGGATCTGATGAAAAGTTCTCACCCCTTGCCCTAGGAAACGGCACCATATATGCCTGTACATCACAGACCTTTTGGGGGCAGGATGCTGTGTGTGTCCCTAGGCCCTCTCCAGGGTAGTGCTCATCCCACTTTCAGTGACATAAGGTTTTCTGGGGCTCTTGTTAAATATTCATTGTGTTTCAGTAGCTGTAGTGAGTGAGCCGAGCAAACTTGGGCAGAGGCATACAGCTGGGAGAGGGCTTGGCTCTGGGGTACTATGGAGTGATGGGGGAGGCCAGAGCACAGTACTGGGCAGATGTATAATCCTTGGAATCAGACCTGAACCATCAATTTGACTTTGCTGCTCTGGTTTATTGGTAAGGAGTGGCACTGCCAACCCAAAGGCATGAGGTTCAAATCCACTAGTTGCTCCTCGGGAGAAAGATCGATAGTCTCCTTCCATGTGAATTACCGTTTCAGAAAATTCACTGGAGGGTCAGCTATGAGTCAGTTCTGACCTGACAGCACACAACAAATCCCCAGCCGAGGGCACTTTAGTGGCGTAGTCTTTAGGGAGCTGCAGTGGTAATCCTTAGCAGGTTCAAATCCACCAGTGGCTCTGCAGGAGAGAGATGGACAGTGTCTTCTTGTTTGATTTTCAGCCTCTGAAAATCCACTGGAGGGTCACCTATGAATTGGTTCCAACTTGATTGCAATGAGTTGAGCTGAGTGGAATTGACTCCTCAGACAAGATGCCCTTGTGGTGCAGCGGTTAAGCATTTGGCTGCTGATTGAAAGACCAGCAGATCAAATCCACCCAGCAGCTCTTCAGGTGGAAGGCCTGGCGATGAGCTCCTGTAAGATTACAGCCTTGAAAACCCTGTGAGGCCATCTGAGCATGTTGGTGTGGGGTCTTTGTGAGTCACAGTCAGCTGGACATCACACATCAACAACAGCATTCTCCACCCAGAGGAGGCTAGTTGAGAACCCACCTGGGTGAGCTTCCATCTCATGCTTTCTCCAGGAAGCAGGGAGGATGGTAACCACCGCACAGAAGGAGCTCTGTGAGGCTGAGATGAGAGGAAATACTGCGCTCAGCAGAGAGTCCGCTCACTGCCCAGCCCCCGAGGTGCCACTCCTGTGTTGAATGGGCTTTATTTACTACCTGGCACTGAAGGTGACTAAGTAGTTGTTGTGTTGTCAGCTGCCATTGAACTAGCCCGGACTCATGGCAGCTCCACGCACAATGGAATGGAACGCTGCCTGGGCCCAAGCCTTTTCCGTCATTGACTATGGATTGGACCATGTGCTCCACTGGGCTTTCATGGGCTGGTTCTTGACATTTGATCACCAGGCCTTTCTTCCTCATTCACTGTAGTCTGGAAGCTCTGTGAAAAGTATTATAGCAACATGCAAGGCTTCACAGACGGACAGGTGGCAGCAGTGAGTGTTGCTGGACATCCAGATGTTGTCATCATCATTGTCATGTGTTACTGGGCTTGAAGGGAAGGTGGCCAAGCCAAACGGCAGAGGGGGCTGGGACCTCTACCTGGATGGGTACCTCAGAGAGAGCCGAATGCACTAGGGGAGCAGAGCTGTCCCACGTTAGGTCATCTCTCGTCTCCCTTTCCTCCCTAGAATGGCTTCAGTAAGAAAAGCCGGCCGCTCTCTGCATGACCTGTTTGGTGACTTCAGGGACATCTCCTTAGAAGACTCAAAAATGGAAGCACTCAGAAACTTACAAGCCAGCAGGGGTCTCAGCAAAATAACAGCCAACCAGAGCAGGTTCCTGAAAAGAAACCAAACAGTGGATGACAGATGCCTCTTTCCAAAGCAGAGCTCCGTCCTGAGGGGGGCACTGAGACCCTCCCCAGGCCAGCCCCTGACCACCACCTCCCAGACCCGGGCGAGTGCCGCCCTCCTGAAGCTGGCCCAGATAGAGACCAAGATCAGGAACCGCAAGGCACAGAGGGGCTTGTCCGACATAGAGTCTGACCCCAAGACCCCTGACGCCAGCGATTTGGGCCCCACCGGGAGGATAGCTGAGGTTTCTTCACACGACACAGACAGAACTTGGCAGAAATATACCCACGAAGCCCCCGCTACTGAGGGCCAGGCACAGAGTGGGCAGGGCAGCAGGTTCCTCAAGCAGAAACAGCCCCCCGCTGCACAGGCATCCCTGGAAGCCCGACTGGGGAAAGAACAGGATTTTCCAACACCCACGCCAAAAGAACCTGCTAGAAGGTTTGACTCTCCAGACAGTGATGAAGAGGAAATGAAAGAGTTACTGGGAAGCTTGATGGAGTCTTCTAGAGAGAAAGAAACACCAACAGATCGGGGACTCACTCGCAATAGAGGCAGTGAGAAAAAACAAACAGAGCCCCTCCTGGTGAGTTTTAGTTTTGACTTGTCTCAAAGAAAGGCTTTACTTCTACCTTCGTGTCATAACCAGCAAACAAATCCTTTGCCTTCAAGTCAGCTTGAACTCATGGCAACAAGTCAGAGTGAAATTGCCCCATGAGGTTTCGGGGGCTGATCCTTCAGAATTAGATTATCAGGCCATTTTTTTCTGAGGTGTCTTAGGATGGGCTGGAACCACTAATCTTTCGATTAGGAGGCAAGTGCATTAACCCTTGGCACACAGGGCCTCTGATTTAAAAAATGTGTACCTAACACCATATATCTGAAGGCAAAGTGATACTTGGGATTGTGGATTTGTTTCCAGTCTGGGAAGTAACTGGGATTTGTTTCCAAACCTGACATTTTATCCTCCTGTGCTATCCCTAATCTTCCAGAAATGAAGACAGAGGGGGAAGAGGGTACACAGAGGAGTAACAGCTCAGCCCCTGAGTCCTTGTTGCCCCCACTAGCCCAAGCCCCTGAGTCCCTGTCCCCGCCCCACTAGCCCCAGCCCCTAAGTCTTTGGCCCCCGCACTAGCTCCAGCCCCTGAGTCCCTGTCCCCGCCCCACTGTAGCCTGAGCACTGTCTGTGGCAATATTAATTTTTATTTTTTATTCCAGTCAAAGTCGGGTCAGCTCCCAGCTCGGCCTCGAGCTCTGCCTTTGCCCAGTGAGGACCTTCCCAGCCCCGAGCCATCCCTGAAGCCGCATCCACCCGCCACAAGGCCAACCAGCAGGACCCCCCCTCGCATTCGCTCCAGGACATCCTCCCCACAGACCCCTGGTTCCACTGGCCCAGTGTCTCGCACGTCAGCGCTCTCCTTCCCTGGCAGCTGGTCCGGGTCCGGGCATCTGAAGATGGTCTTATCCTCCCCTGGAAGCAGTGAGGCTGAGCCCTCTGAAGCATCGCTGTCTGAGGCCAATGATGACAGCCTGGACGGTGAGCTGAATTCTTAGCACACAGTCAGGGGCCAGGGGGCGTGGCGGGTCACAGGGTGCTGGGTCACACCCCAGATCTTCTCAGGTCAGAATTTTCTTCTGCCTTTAAAACTCTTCATCCACTAACTCTGACTCCAAAAGAGGAGTTGTACACCCGGTTAGTCCAGACTTTGGTTCAGATCCTTCCAGAAGCTCCTCAGTACACAGGCCTGGTGACCCTATAGACTTGCTGTCCACAAGAAGTCACCGCGGATTGTGCTGTCCACGAGAGGTCACCGTGAGTAAAAGTCACCTCACTGGCAGTGAACTTGGTTGTGGGTGTTATTGGAACCTGGAGAAAAAAAGCCCTTCTCAATTTTTCTTTCCTTACACAGAAATTTTCCTTTTGCTTTAAATTCAGAAAAGGGTATGCAACTCTCTAACTCGTAAGGATTGAACTGTTTCTTTTATTTCAGCTCCTTGTGTCTCCTAAGCCCCAGAGCTCTTAGGGGTCAGGTGTAAAGATACTAATGGAAAGACAGCACCTCTGTGGGAGAAAGGCCTGGCAAACTGCTCCTATAAAGATTGGAGTTTAAGGGGAGCTCTAGTGGCCTAGTGGCAAGAAGCTGCACTGCAATCCCAGAGGCGCACGGTTTGAATCC